GCAGACAGTTCGTGACAGTCTGAGGAGCCCCGGGTTCACACAAAGTTTTTGAAGAAAAAGTGGTGAGATAGCATCACTTTTACACAAAAAGAGGCTGAAATAACGAGTGGTGACTTCGTCAAAATGAGTGAAAATTTGGACAAAGTCACCACTCGCTATTTCAGCCTCATTTTCTTCACCTCACTCAATTTTATTTTATGAAAACCTTGACGGGGAAGAACTCGTTTGACCCTTCGTAGTCTTCTAATTGAGAAAGGCGGGCGTAGGGCGGAGCTGTGAACTGTTTAGCGAAAACTCTAGCATAAATACCGGTCCAAGTTGTTGTTTGTGGAGAAGTCGTCACTGCTCAATGGTGTTTTCCTGAACATTGAATGTTTTCTCTTGCTACGATTTTCCAACTTGCAATCCATGCCTCAATTCTATGCAAATATTTCAGAAATGTTTGGCTTTGTTGTACTGTTGGCGATGATCGGTGCCGTTCATTCGCAAATGGTCCGGCAGTGCACCTGTCAGGAATTCCAACCATGCAAGAACAAACTAGCTGGAAATTTCATGCAGTGTGCAGACCAGTGCCAAGTAAGTAAAGGTTTTACAGTGAGAGCTCAAACACAGGGCACATCGTTGTTGGGGAATCCCCAACAGGAGGGGGGGGGGCGTATTTGGACGCCAGTAGAGGGGGGGGGGTAGGGTAGTATTTGAGCTTAGAAAAGGATAGTTGATTTTTCTCGCTTCACGGACGTTCAAATAGGAGGGCGGGGTCGTACTTGCTCACTGTTGGGAGGGGGAGGTCGTATGTATTGTCTCGCGGCTTTTCCTGTTTCACATGTGCTATTTACCTCCCCCCCCCCCGCTCGACGGCTCGATTCGATGAGGAGGGACAGAGGGCCGGAGGGGAGGGGGGTCGTACCAAAAAAAGGGGGGGGGGGTCGTACGGACTCGACTAAAATCCCCAACCAATGATGTGCCTCGCTGAAACATGCAGTGCCATTCGACGATACTTGAATTAATTTTCCACATCACTGTGGAATTCTATATATTTTTGCTGGCCTCGGACTTTCCAACCCGGACTTCCCAGTTTTCTGATCTTCGTCGATCTAGTGATGAGTGATCGCGTTTGCTGCACGCCCGAAAGAACTCGGTACAGCATAGTCGGGAGACCCTATCAGGGCCAAAAGGGGTCGTGCCTCCCCTCTCGGTGCCTAAGCCTACGGTGATTTTCTGGAAGAAGACTGTAAGAAGGCTGCAAACTTTCTCAGGGAACCAAGAAAAATGGAGGACGTTGGGGGAAACTTCAGAAGATGGTAGGTAGGGTTAGGAAGGGAGGTCGTGCCATATGAGAAAAATTTCAATCAAGGGGAGGTCGAACTGACACCACAGTTTAAGCGTCGCAATGTTCTACCCTAGGGTCACATTGCTCATGAGAAAACCCCAATTTCCTACCCTCTGGTACTGGCTTGCTTATGAGAAAAACATTTCCTGTTTTGGCTGGGCCTCTCAGCCAGTTCTACAGGCAAAATCGTATTCGATCCCTGTGCCTTTACGATTCTGAAGTGAAGGAGGAATGCGCAGTGCATCCCAAAAGAGGGTTGACCAGCACTCATCGCTTAAGTGGTTGCTTTTAATGATGCAGTATCATCGCGAATACAAAAGCGGAAGTTTCTGCCTAGTCTCAACCTAAGATCAATTGTAATGATCGTTGATGCGATGGCATTCAGTAAGACAAGGGTGTGGCGATCATATCCGTCACCATTAGTGAATACCTTATCGGCTGCGATAAGACATCGTAAAAAGTTCCACTTTGTATAATATATGCTTTTGAGAGGGTTGAGGCGCAGGAGTAGCGTTGTTTATGTGCAAGGTGCAAAAAACCAGTACTCACGTTGTTTACTGTAACAAATCGCAAATTTCCCTATGAATTGTAAAAAGAAAACACGTCGGGATGTCTGTACTCACTGATGGGACACCTTATTATTAGCATAAAAAGTGTTCAGTGGTCGTCTGGCTAATTGTGGGTAGTTGTGAACTTTGCCTTTCAGAAGGTTTTTCTTACAATGAAACAATTTTACAAGAAGTGTGCATGTTGTTTGTAAATTTCTTTGTGAATTTCATAGGGGCTGACGGTTGAAATAAGGTGTACTCCATATCCCGGAGATGAAAGGGGCGTGGCTGTGCACTTCTTCTGGATATGGCGTGGTAGGAGCACTAACATTTAAAATAACTATCATCCAGCCTTATAAAAGCATAATGACAATTATCCCACAGAGAAAATTCTCCAACTGAAGCGCAGCCGCCATCGAATGGAATACGCAGCCACGCCCACTCCGTCTTTGAGATATGGAATGTACCTCATTGATGGAGACTCCCATGAAGGGGGAAGGGGCGCGTTTTCGGAGTCGCAGTTTTACAACAGTAAATAGTTTTGAATGTCTGCCCATCCTTCGCCCAGCTAGAATGAAATTTTGGAGGAGAGGGGCGTTCTGCAATTGTTCCCTCCTGTCGCGATACCACGCCTTGATTTGAAAATCACCACTCGCGAAAACGCTGATTGCCTCAAGCACTTGGAAGACCGATCTTGTGTTACCTTTCAAAGAAATAATCCGATTATCCTTCAGAAAAAACTCCCTCCATTCCTTCAAAAATCTGTTTCAGAGCCATGTGTCAGCTCTCGGTGGTTCATATCCAGCGATAAGATCCTGTCTGCAGGCTAAAGAGCCAATGATTAAAGGTGTTATCGACTGCCAAAGCAATGAGTTGTCCGGAGCGTGAGTTGTTTCCCATTTGTACTTTTTGCTTTCTTGACCTTCAAAGACACTGTCCGCGATAAGGAGCGTAGGTGTTGGCGGTGAAATGTGGAAGGGAAGCTTGCCGAGTGACTCGTCTGTGAGGAGGAAATGCCAAAAGGAACGTCGGAAACACCTTTATTGTGACCCCTCCAACACAGGCAGTTGCACGGGTGAAATGCCCAAAAAACCACTTGTTGGGATTACTCCAGTCTGCTGACTCCTTGTAACCATGGCCCCACATAAGACAGTGTAGCATCCGTTACATGCTACTTGTCGGTAGCATCGCTTTTGGCTGGAAGGCGGGCTTTGAAGGCGGAGTCTGGAGGCGGAGTCACTGGAAAAAGGGAGGTACCACTGGAGCAATTTGCAGCATAACTCCTACACCTTACAACTTTCGGCCGTAAAACTGGCACAAGGTTGTTCACTGCGGACCACACTAAGCCTCCCCATAATAGTCCTTTGCATTTTCATAGGTCATCGCGGGCCCTTTCTTTAACTTGAGAGGAGCGTCGCGCCCATTACTACATGGAGTTCTTCTATAGGCCTTTGTTCGCAGTCACCATTGTCCCATGAAGCTGAACACATCGATCATCGCCGTCGTTCTCAAGAATGCATGTAGTAGTAGAGTCCCGAAGCACGCCACGTGAGACTCAATAAGCCCGGCTTCGCAGCAATGGTGTTTTTTATTCAGCTGTAACACCATCCGGGAAGGGGGCAATAACATTCAGGTGCCACTCGTTCCTCGGAGCCTCGGAAGGATTCGAAATTAGCTCTCGAACGAATACATTAAGAGACTTCGAGCCAACCAGGGTCGCGTTCTTGTGACGCTAACGATTTCGTTGAAAAATTAGCCTTTCAATTTCACTGTCAAACTCGGGTGTACTTATAATTGAACCAATCCATTACGGCAGTCCTTACGGTTTAGCCTCTTGTGAGCGAGTTCATAGGAGCGGTCGCTCCCACAGGACGACTGGAACATTTCAGATGTCTTAATGTACCAGTAACGTTGTTATGGTTCACGATTTGCTTCTCATACCCTATCCTGCTAGCCACGCTCATCATCAAGACCCGGCACTGAGATCTCATGAACGTCGCTTCTGCACTTGATAAAACCTCCAGGGCCGAGAGGGCTGCTGGAAGCGCCGTACAGCGGCCGACTTATCGTGCCACTCCAAGCAAAGCAGGCCTCAGTAAGGCGTGCTTCAATCAAAGTGTCACTTCTTTTCCCTTGGCGTTTTCACCCTGGCCCTACTTACGTTCCATATCAGGGGAAGGAGTGGGCGTAGCTGCGCACATCAAATGACTGTGATGTGTTCTTGCTGGAATACCGCCGCATGGTAACAAATGTAATCACACCATAATCCCACGAGCCAGCACGACTAGAATGGCAGTTGTCACGAATAAAGATATTTCTAATGATAAAGCGCTGCAGTATGTCGAGCCAGCTACTTCAAGAACACTCTAAATGCCCCATATCTTCCCCTTTTGTAGGCCGCCGCTGAATTAGCTACTCTTTAAGATTCAGCGTGGAAGTGAAGGTTATTGCATCAAATACGTACCGACGCCTTTTTGCGTGGATTTCACATGTAGCCGCAGCCTTTTTCTATGCAAGGCTAACGTGATGCACCATGTGTGTCACGCTCATCGCGCTGATAGGCGTGCGACGTGGCGCCCGCAAATGACGATGGTTCCAGGTAGTACCCTCGTCATCCGGGCAGTTGATTAGGGCGGTCGTCAACGGGCCGCAGCGCGTGCCAGGAACTATTTGCTTTTTCCAGGCTAATTTAGTCATTTTTTCCAACTTTTCACTTGTTCAATTTTTTCCAACTTTTCACTGTTTTGGCTACTTTTTCCCAGATTAGCAGCTCCTTACAAGGTGGAAAAAATGACTAAATTAGCCTGGAAAAAGCAAATAGTTCCTGGCACGCGCTGCGGCCCGTTGACGACCGCCCTAATCAACTGCCCGGATGACGAGGTAGATGGCGACAACAGGCAATTCAGAACCGAAAATAGTCATGAATGTCTACGATGACGGGGTCTACATGAAGTCCGGTGCTCCATCGACAGGTTAACACGAGTTATGAGTTAAACGCCGCGCCCATCGCCGCGCGTGGCGGTGCGGCGAATTACGATCCTCTTTACCGTCTCCCGTGAAAAGTAGCCTGCGTCTGGCAGTGGTTTGCTCACAAATGTTGCCACAAAGAAACTTCCATATTGATGAAATTACGAGCACAATGGAATCAGGTATTCTTTAGATGTGCGAGAGGACCCGGCCAAACGGTTCCCAAACGCTATCCAGAAACACTGAAAATTGCTGCTTTCAGTGAAATTAATTCTATGCTATCAAGATCTGGTGAGTTGATTAAAAATAGGAATTAAATGATTCGTGCAATATGCTGCCATCTCCATGGAGCAATCTTCTAGGTATCCAAGCTGAAGCGAGAAGTTTCTTAGCAGCGGGAAAGAAGTTCAGCTCATGCCTCATGAGATGTATTGATCGATCAGGTGGAAACTGTTTCAAGAAATTAAAGTAAGTGTTTGACTGTACCCAATGGGCACTATAGTGATCCACAATAGCTGAACGTTACTGTATTTCAGCTGCGGTTTGGCTCTACCCCCAGACAATGTGCTCGTCCAGCAGGCAAAGCGTTGCGCAATCAGCCGCGGGTTCAATACTCAAGGTATTCAGCAACTCTGCAATTGTATGGCTGGTGCCGGTATCAGGTACGTAAATATTTAGTTTCTTTGAGATTTTTTAAAACCTAATCTTCAACACATTCGCAATTTTTCCTCAGAAAAACCTAGGCTATCCCAGATCTATAGCTTGAACATATTCATTCCAGAGGTCTCGCTCCACTTTGCCCAAGAATCCAGATCTCATGAGTCAAAATTGTCTTCACCTGATATCAGCATCGAATGGACGGATGGCGGTTACTAGTAATAATTTGTTGACTGTAGAATAAGTGTGAATTGTATATACAATCAATGAATAAATTTTCTTCTAGTGCATTCGGTACATACCAAAAGTCCTACGGGGTCAACGTCACTATCGCAAAGGAAAATTCAAATAAGTACAATCAGAAGGGATCATCATTCACTACTGAAATGAAGAGATTCACTTTGTCACTCAACGTACATCGTCAGTATGGGCAAAAGGGCGGTCTTAGTACGACACCCTTCTCCCCACCAAGCACTAGATCTCACTCGGTACAACCCCAAGGTATTATAGGTCTTGCTCACTGCGATCTCCCTATACCATCTTAGCGAATTCCCTAGAAGTTTCACTGGGGAGCGCAGACCTCACCAATCAACCAACAGGACTAGAAGTTTCACCTATTATCGATTATCGTGTACATTGTAGATATAACACGCATAATATGGGAAATATCAACAAATTGTAACATTGCTCTTGAGGCCAATTACGACCCCACTGAAAGCCTCGCCTCCGGGACTCCAACACGGACCTATGCTTCCAAGGTTGTTCACACCATACCAAAGATGCCACATATTGCTCTTGGGGGTCGCCATGTGAGACTTTTGTGAGGTGCTTCGTTTCAACACCACACCGGTGATTCCAGTGATCTGGATAAGAAACACACTCCGAAGAGTTCTCGCTTACTGGCCGGTATATATCGGAAAGGTGGCTCGATCAATCGGAAACCTCATTTTGCGAATGAGGTGTAAAATTCTTACAGATCTAGCCGATTGGGAAAATGATCTGTGTTGATCCCTAATTTCGTGTAGAAGTACGTGAACGCAGACGTGGGGGGAAAACGGTAGTTAGGGAGTAGTTATGAATTCCAATTCGGGGCTCTTGTTAACATGTCGCCGCTAAAGATTGATTTACCAATCCGGTTAGATTATTTAAGCAAAACTCTTTCAGCTTCAAAGTGTTGTCCACTATTGGAACAGCTGTGCGGTTCTAGTTTGTGTTCTGCCTGTTCTATTTATGTGGCGAATCAGCTCAGTGGCCAATTTTGTAGACAGTTTCGGCATCTGTCCTTCTCAGGTACTAGTGGTGTTGCCGTCTCCCTTCCTCTCCCTGAGTCACGAGGTCGTTTTAATTGAAACATCAAAAGGAGAGTAATGCACAGCGTCGCCCACCTTACTACCGGGGACCGGCTGTCTCAGAGCGTGGAGCACTTTCTTGGAAGAACGGTTTTTTCGCATGAGTGGGGGGGCGGTCACGTGGCATGGGTAGCTCCAAACTGGTGTTCATTTTTCCTGAACGCCTCTGGGAATGCCAAAAATGGAGTGAAAAAAAAGTCCATGGAAACCGACTGTTATTGAGCCTGAATGGGCTCTAAATCACTCGCAAGTTCGGCCAGTTGCTGCCTATAGGGTCCTTATAAAGGTTGTACTGGTATCTATGAGAAAAGTGGTCGTCAATGGGGTCTTACTTGTGGCACGTAGTTAAGAGTCGACGGCCAATTCGAATGGGCTCTTAAGCAATCGAAGTGTGGAGCTTGGTGCCAAACGATCAGATGGCACAGTGGATAACGTGGAGGCTATTCCCAAGCAGGCCCAGGGTGATGGTTCGACTCCCCTCGGCTTGCACGTTTTTGCATTTTTTATTTTCCGTTGTTGTCGCTTCCATATACGTCTGTTAATGAATTTTACTCGGATATCTGCCATTTATGATATAGCACTGCGACTACGGCGCTATAACTATTTAGTAGGCACATCCTAAATAGTTATAGCCCGTAGTCGGTGCTATTCAGCAATTTCGATTTCACATACCATTAAGCAAGAACTTGTCTGAAAGTTGAGCTTTATATGTTATTCGGTGCCCTGGTCTGTTTACACTATTGCATTCACTTTTCAAAAAAGCGCTCCCAAGCTGCCATTTATTTCCTATTTGGAGCCCGTTCCTCTCTCCCACTGGAGTCGCTATGTAATTCGTTTGACTTTTGTGGACTTGCAGGGGCATCCTTATTTTTTTTCTCTGTCACTCCAGATTGGATTGACGTCAAGAATAAGTGTCAGAATCGTGATCAGGACCATCGATTACCCCTATAGGCAAACTTTCAGCCAAAAATTTTTTTTGACTTTTTTGAGTCTGTGCATTGGGTTATGCTCAAGAGTCACTTTGTTGAAGTCGTACTTTTGCTGGTTATCGAAACCCTCATTCAGTGGTACGGAAACAAAAAACTAGCAACAACCATAAACGCCATCGAAAAAAGAACAAAATAGTCATCATTCCTCCAGGTGCATTTGATGAAGAAATCGGATGAGTCTCTCCTCTTGGTAGGGGAGGACGACGACATCTTCGTTGAGCGAGAAATCCTGGGGCGGAGAAATTGATCCAGGATGGTTTTTTGTGATCTTCTTCTGCGGCCAACCCATGCCATGCCAAGTATGAATGGACCTTATGAGCACCAAATCCGCGATGCGGCTGCCCGGCGGCCCACACGTCATTGCTACGTCATCGCAACTCAAAGTTGTGGGTCTACGGCGTCATCACCCGGCACGACAAAATGGTGGTCTATCACAAAACGCAAAAAAAGTCAAAAATTTTTTTTTGGCCGAACGTTGCCTATAGGGGTAATCGATGGTCCTGATCACGATTCTGACACTTATTCTTGACATCAACCCAATCTGGCGTCAGAATGGCCCTGCAAGTCCCTCAAACGAATGTACATAGCGACTCCAGTGGGAGAAAGACTTGGCTCCAAATTGGGGACTACGTGCCACAAGTAGGACCCCATTGGCGACTACTTTTCTCATCGATACCAGTACCTTTATAAGGACCCTATAGGCAGCAACTGGCCGAAGTTGCGAGTGATTTAGAGCCCATTCAGGCTCAAAAACAGTCGGTTTCCATGGACTTCTTTTTCACTCCATTTTTGGCATTCCCAGAGGCGTTCAGGAAAAATGAACACCAGTTTGGTACTCCATGCACGTGACCCCACATCATGCAAAAAACCGTTTTCAAAAAGCGCTCCACGTCCTGAACGACCTCCCTAGTTAGTTTCATCTCCCAATAGCAGCGGTCGAAAGACAGGGTTCGAATATCCAACTGGCCTTATCGCCATACAGGGTACAGCATCGTGATGTGTGAGGTGGTGGTGTAGGTACGACCCCCCACCTAAATGAGGGTCTCGGTACGACCCCCCCCCTTCCCCAACACCTACCTACCAGTTCCCCTTATTTTCCAGTCCAGTTTTTCACCCAAAAATTTTCCGAAATTTTTCGGAAAAAATTTTTCCCAATGCCGGCCAAATTCTCTCGAAGACACGTACGACCCCCACCCCTCTCCCCTACAACGCCAAATACGTCCCCCTCCGCGGAGAGAAAGTACAACCCCCCCTCATGTGTTTCACACAACGATGCTGCACCCTGTCGCCATAATCTGCTTTAGTGACGCTTGAAGAGAAGACACAACCGTAAGTGCTTTCAGTTTTTTTCTTACGCACATTTCCACTATCACCGTTCCACTTTCAATCATGGTACAACACGAAGTAAGTTTCGCAGATTGTATAGATATAGATATATCTACACGATCGTAGACTTCTTCGGAAATGCTCCAATAGCAGCCCTCTTCTGTTCTACCTTCAAATTCAGCCTTACCAAGATGCACCTTAGGTCCTTGACATTTGGACCTGAGAGTTGATGTCTACCAAGTGGCTTCCTAACGTGCTCTTCGTCAACCACTTACAAGCCGCTCGAAACGCAAGCGCACAAAGTGGTACATCCCTCAGTCAGTGATCCTTTCTATTTGAGCTCTGAAGGAGCGAACAAACTGGGCGATCTTATTTTTTGTGAGTCAGCATGTAGCTTCGAAGGTGGGGTGGAATGAAGAGCTTCACATTGTGCATAGTATTTAATGGTACTAGCTGCAGACACTGGGGCGTGTCAGAACCAAGCCTGGTGCGGCTCTTGCGCTGCTTGCCCCGCTCCAACAATTGGAGGATAACGGGTTGGCGGCACTCCGTAGCGTCCACAGCGAAAACGACTGTTTAGCCTTGTTCACTGCGGATGAAAGGGCGTACAGCAGGAACAAAATCCCATGGTATGTACATTCATTTATCCTAGGAAACATCAATCGTCAAGAAATTCATTCTCGTTGTGGTGAAGTATACTCGAAATCCCTGAGATCGGGTAGGCGTGGCCGCATGCTTTCAATTAACCTGAAGGTGTCTATGCTTCTGGTGAGATATTTTCACCTTGACACATCGCATTCAATAAGCCACTACGATTCTGAATGGAAGTAGAATGCGTGCCGCATCCCACAAAGGGATTGATCAACGGCGAAGACTTTATCCTTTATCCTTTTAATAGTTTCAATGACTTGCCCACGCTGTGGTTCCTGAAATACTCCTTATCCCTGAGTCAGAGTAGGCGTGGCATTTGAACATGTCACGGAATTGGTTACTCTTGGAATATTCCTGTGTGGGTAAAGCCTATACAATGACTTGCGGTGGCCAGCCGATGTACAAGTCAGTGTTTTATCCTCCCAGACGAATCTGGTACCAATTTACCGTCCCCGGAGGGTAGAAGGCTTGGTTGGCCTGGGCGGGAGTCGACCCGGGACCGCGCGAGTGGTAAGCGCGCCACTTGTCACTACACCACCTCCGCCTCATTGAAACTATTATTATTCCGAAATACCTGTTTTCACAAAGCATATAACCCGTAAGACGGAACTGGTATTTCACTGAACTCGGGTTACCCTCGAAGTTCAATGAACACCAGTACAGTCCAATTAGAAGCAAAGAAAAACAAACATTGGGAAAATGCATACACTCCACAGCACAGATGATCCGTTTCGCCCGGTGTCGTAGACGAATCATCGAAGTCTTACCAACCCCCCAG